GGCATCCTCGCCCGAGCGCCGCGCGCTTGGAAAGCGGAAGGCGAGTTTGCTGGGAAGTGGCTGGCCAACTTGGCGCCGGGCGCGGGGGAGCGAGTGTGGAATCTGCAAACACACGTGGGACACGAGGCTGGGACTCAGAGGTGCGTGGCCTGGCGCGTGGGGAAGCGTCGCGAGTGCTGTCAGAGGGTTCTGGTCGGCAGCCCCGGGGCTCCCAGCGCCGGCGAGAAGAAAGGACGCGCAGGAAGCCCGCGGAGGTCGGGGGAAGGTGCTGGAGTAGGAATCCGCCCTGACCGGGGTCGCTGACCGAGCTCTGCAGCGGGTGGCCTGGAGGATTCCTTGACGTGCATGCACTGCACTCTCTCTCACACCAGCAGATCTTGGAAGCGTTCAAAATGTGGGGATAGCTGTCATTTTAAAATCTCATCCGCGTTCACCTGTCACTACCAGTTGGTTTGCCCGTGATGTGTCTGCAAACTTGCAAACTTACGGAGTGCAAAGATCAGAAGCTGCAAGGGAAACGCTCAGGTCTTGTTTAAAAATATTTTGGCAGTTTTAATAGGTAATATTAGATTGCATAGGAACAGAGGAGCGGAATTTAAAATGGATTAGTCACGTAGGCAGTGCTGGGCTGTTTTGTTAGAAAAGTGCACGCAGTGAGTTACCTTCTCAGGTTTTCACTTGTTGGAAGTTCCTCCTGTGAAGCAGCAAATGATGACATGCCATAACGTAGGTGTGGGTTTGGGAGAAACCCTGGAAGAGAGGACGCACAGCATTTACTTTCTTTCGGGTGGCGGCTGATGTCCTCCTGAGGACTTACAAGAGCTGCTTCTAGTCTAAGTGCCAGTCCAGTGGCCCTTGGGTTCAAGGGTACCCTTTTCCCTCCGTTTTTCGGTAGTAAGACATTAAATATTGTCCTCTCGTTAAGCTTTAACAATTACGTTGTTCTTACAGGTGTAAATCCTGCATAGAAGGGTCCTTATAGATGTTTGACAAGGGCAGCCTGCTTTATTCTTGTTTGAGTGTAAGATACTGGAAAATGGGGTCTGGGAAAAATAATTTCAAGGAACCATTGAACGGTTTCTTATTTTAATTTTATTTTTAGCATCTTGCACAAAAGTTAACCTGCCATCTTGGTATTAGAAAAATGTTTTCCTCGGCTGTGGTGATTTCCTGTTATATGTGAATATCAATAAGAATAGGAGTAATAAAAACATTGAGGCATTGTAGGGTTTTAGTTTATTTCATTCCGTCTCTGATTAAAATGACAAAAATCCTTAGGAATACTATAGCTGATATAAGGAAATGTAGTCAGCTTATATGTCTCGTAAATAATTTGCTATGTTTAATAAATACTTTACATCTTGTCTTATTTCAGAATTATTGATAAAATTGAGTAATCTCAGCTAAATTAATTTTAAAATTTCCTTTTTTGTGACTAGTAAATAACATCCATTGTTCTATAGGAAAGTTAATAGATCCTCATTCTCCTTGTTTAGAGAATAAGTTAAAGCGTTAAATATTTTCTTTCTTTTTTACAAAATATTTTTATTGATTTCAGAGAGGGAGGGAGAGAGAGAGAGAAACATCAGTGATGAGAGAGAATCATTGATGAGCTTGATGAGCCCACGGCCTGGGCCTGTGCCCTGACTGGGATCTAACCTGACCTCATGGTTCCACAGGTCTGCACTCAACCCCTGAGCACGCAGGCCAGGCAGATATTTTCTTGTAATACCACTTTAAGTCATAGTGGTTTGTTATTAAGGATTCTGGGGCTGTGCACTGGGGATCCTTTGAAATAAGAAATTACATGTCTTACAAAATGGGGGGGTTGAAACTTTTGAAGAATTTATTGCATAAACTTTAAATATTTAAAGCAAAAGGTGGTTGGATGGGAATAGAAGTATGTCAGGTTTTTGTGTCTGTTGACCTAGACACTGTCCTAAGACTGAGGCCTCATCTCTTCCATTGTAATAAATCTAGTTGTTTTTGTTTGTGCTATTCATGGGCATTACTGGAAATGAGAGCTCTGTAAAAACACCTTGGAACGTGAATCTGTATTCTGGATTCCACAGACACATGATCTGTTTTATTTTCATGGACATGACCATTTTATAGTATGTTTTGAACAGTTTAAGATCTTGCTAATGTATAATTAACTTGTGTACATACATTTCATTGTGGAGTTTTTAAAATATTTTAAGGAATAAGTAGTACCCACTCAAGCATCACATGTTTGCTAGCCCCTTTGTTTTGGATTTATCTTGCCTACTTCTTTTATGCTTTTTAGTAGAATGAAGAATTGTACAGTTATATTAAATGCAAATTTCCTTTCTGAACTGACATGTTCAAAAACTAGTACAATAGAATATGATGGAGCAAGTGGGAAATTAGAGAAGTTGATGCTGGGGGGAAACAGTAATCCTCGTCTTGTCAGAATTCTCACAGCTAAACATACCATTAAGCTTTCAGATAGTTTGTCATTTCTCAATATGTTGTATTTGCACATGAATATAAACAGTATGTTAATTTTATAATGTTTAAAGAGAACTTTCTGAAAAAGATAAAATTTAGATGATACTGTGTGTATTCTACGTGATCAGAGGGCACGTATTGGGTGATGAATGACGTGGCTGTTGGTGGTTTGAAGATTTTCCAGCCAAATTGTATGACACTGATATTTACCTATTGGTAGTACAGTTAGGTTAATGTATAGTCATGGTTTATTTGCAAAATAAATCTGATTTACTTTCTAATTTTGATAATTTTAAACTTACACTTTCATTAGAACTTTAAGGGGTCTGAAAGAGTTTTTTTCCGCAGCATCATTCAGAATTCAGAAAAGAATCAATAGAGAAAAATATTTTAAGTTTCTCAAATTACCATTAATTTTATTAGAAGCTAATGTTTAATTCATAGCTATGACTATTAAAATCCAAAAATATCTTGATTTAAGATATATCACTGCATGCTTACTAATCAGTGCCTCTGTTTAAATCATTTGGTACTTGAAACACATACACAGGAGTTTCATAGCTAGGCCAGCCCCTCAAACGTGATGTAACTGAGCTACGTTTATTATGTTAGCTGAGCTCTAGGCCTAGAAAGAAGTGAGAAGACTCCATTTCCTAGGGTTAAGGCTCATCCTTCCCCAAGCCAGATTCTTCTTATAAACCTTTTCAGTTGCAGCCTTCCAGTGTACCCATGGCACCCTTCTCCCAGGCCTCCAGGCCACCCTCTTCCCAGCGAGGTGGCGCTTCAGGGGCTTCCAATGTAGTCTGTGCCCCAGCGCTCCCATCCCTTCCTCACCCTTGCCCTCCTGTCTCATTCCGCTGGTGTGCACTGGATCGCATCTAGATGTGAAGAGGAAAACAAACGGTGGAACTAATTCACCTTAATCTGTAAATGACTCATAAGCTAACTCTCCCCAAGTTTCTCCACGTTTTTTGTAAGTCTGTAAGAGGTTGCTGTTAACTTAGATAATTTTAAAGTAAAATTCAGGCAGCGTCGGGAGGAAGGAATTTATAGTCTCTGCATAAGTAAGCCACATCTCACTGGGAGTTAGCCCCAGGTTCCTCTCTACTCCTGGATGAGTGGCTCTCTGGAATGCCATGGATTTCATAAAAGTGTGCGTATATACACGCTATGTACGTATGTGTGTGTGTATAGATATAGATGTAAGAAATATCTATATCTACATACGTTCCCTACATCATGAAGAGGAGGAGTTAAGAGTGGTGATTATGAAACCATTTGAATATAATGGTCCTTTATAAGATATTTGTTGTTTGGGGATAGTTGATACTGCATTTTAATTTATAGGAACCATAAAGAAAAAGACCTAGGATCTCTCATGACTAAAATTGGCTTCTTAAAATACGGCTGGGGCTGGACTATCATATGATGTATATTACAACATGAACCAGGTGTAGTTCTTACATTTGGGAGAGGACCCTTTGATCTCTTGGGGAAAATATCTGTGTTATGGGAACTCAGCATATAGCCCCATAAGAAAGAGGAAGTGCCCTGACCGGTTTGGCTTAGTGGATAGAGCGTTGGCCTGCGGACTGAAGGGTCCCAGGTTCGATTCCGGTCAAGAGCATGTACCTTGGTTGCGGGAACATCCCTAGTAGGGGGTGTGCAGGAGGCAGCAGATCGATGTTTCTCTTTCATCAATGTTTCTAACTCCCTATCCCTCTCCCTTCCTCTCTGTAAACAATCAATAAAATATATTTTTTTAAAAAAAGAGGAAGTATGAGGATGAGAGAACAGAGAGGATTGTAGTTTGTAAAGTAGCAGGAGGTGCTGTTACTAGATTGCGAATTCATTGGGACACTGATCCGAAGGCATCCCTTTTGGATATGAAAGGCGGCTGCTGATCAGATTCTAACTCAGACATTGGGTTTCATGTAACAGCAGCCTTTCTAGAGATGTTATTGAACACTGTGCGGGGAATAGAGGGGGTAAAAGATGAATGAGACCAAGTTCCTGCCCTCAGGGAGCTTATAACAACTCCTGCTGAGTCCTTGAACCACAAGGAAGCACGTGATAGGGCTGTGGGAACAACCTCCCTGACATCCTCCCTCCACGCTGGGATGTGGGGATTAGGGTAGGACAGAGGCCTTTCCTGCTCACCAGGGAAGAGAACTATTCCTTCATTCCTGCCTCAGTCTATTCCAGGCTTCAGCCTGCAGTATGGCCCCACATCTCACTCTCAAAACTCGCGAGTAACTACTGGCCTCTCTCTTTAACCTCTCTGCAGCTTGACACCAATCCTGGAAATGCTTTTCACCTAGACTTACACGTTGTCTTCCCTACCTTCCCTTTGCAGTTCTTTGCAAAACTTTAATTCCAAAGTTTTAAATTCAGTCTCTTTTCTACTGCCTTTTGCTATCCTCCCTCGATGAGCACATCCACTCCCAAGCTTCAGTCACCGCCTCTGGGAGACGACCCTCCAGATTGCTAACTGTGGCTGGAGGAGTGGTTCACGGGCCAGGGGCCAAGGTTATTGCAAGTGCTCTCAAATCCAAGCGCACACCAGCACTGGCTGCGGAGTGAGATGCCTCTCACACATGTCCAGTTTGCAAATGAAAAGTAAGCAAGCACTTTATGACTTACTAAAATATAGTCAATTAAAAGTATAACCAAATTCATAGTAGTAGTCATATGCATTCTCAATCAACAAATACTAACAGTAAAACTATCAATGAATATTTGCCACTTTGTATTTAAAGTGATTTTCAGACCTGAAAAGTTTGAGAACCATTAGCTCACATCATTTTTTGATAATTCAGCATTTCAACTACTACTTGGAGATTATCAGAATCTCAAAATGGATAAGTCCAAAAGCAAGTATGTTTATCTTACCTCCCTCCCTTCTTCCAGACTCCCAAATTTATTCTTTCCAACGTTCTTCTTTCTTTACTTGCACCACTATCCCAGTTTCCTGAATTAACAGGAGTGGGATTGCATCTTTGTGTTTTCCTCTTCCTTCCTCACATCTGCATGTCCTGAAGCCACAGCATCACCCTTTTTCTTTCTCTGCCTCAAAAGCACCGGGTTCTAGTTCTCAAGCGTCTTGTCCCAACAGCTGCCTCACCTCCTCGCTGCAGCGCCAGCTTCCATTTCCTAAAGCACAGGTGTGGCTCCTCGCTCGCCTGGGCCACTGTCTCCTCATAGAGGCGTCCCAGACCCACACCCCCTCCCCAGCTCTCTCTCTGCTCCCCTGATGCCCCTGTGCTCCTACCAAACAGATCCCCTGACATTCCTCACATGGGCCTCCTGCTCCCCGCCCCCAGGCCAGGCGGCTTCTCCCTCACACCTCCAAGGCCTTTCCCAAAAGCCTCCCACACCGCGCGGCTGTACTGCTCTTTCTCTGAATCCATGGTGTGTTCTCTCTTACTTAAGTCTGCCAGCCACTGAGCTCGCCCTGGGGATACAGAGGGCAGGTGGGCTCGCCCGGAGAGACAAGGAGCCACACCTCACCGCTGTGACAGATGCTGTGCTGAGTGGCACGCGGGAGGAGTCACGCACTGCTGAGTGGACTTGCTGTACTGCTGGCCCCTGTGCAGAGTGTGTGAGGAGAGATGCCGTTAGAGGCTTTCTCTTGATGTATTTGACCTTCATGTTGAAGCATGAATAGTTTGTAAAAACAGAAAATCTCATCATATAAAAATTTTACATTAAATCTAATATATGAAGTGGTGGGTGTTTAAATGATCACAACGTGCTTCTGTAGGAACTGAAGCCTTCTCCCACTGCAAAAGCTTAGGGAGAAAACTCCTTTCCCAGCAGGTAGTGTGGGCTCAGCAAGCCTCCTGGGGCTCTCAGAGTTCGCCTCCTTCGCTTTCAGCTGGTATCTTGACTTTGGACATATACCCTTGGTCCTGTCGGTCCTTACAGAGCTTTATCATGATAACTACTTCCTCACCAGGACCGGAGTTTTCTCCTGGGAACTAGGGGGTTTCCTTTACTTCTGGGTAAAGATGAGAAAGGATAAACAGTTGAAAATGAATATATTCTAAAATCGTTGCCTTTTCTCAGAATAAAACCTAAGTTTGGGTCTTTAGTTCTCCTTTTAAGTTTCTTTTTAAATTTTATTTGCCTAACATATTCTTTTTTATTGTTCATAAAAAGATTCAAAAACTGTATTCTAGATTTTCTCATATACTCTTTCCTCTATTCCATAACTTGGGGGAGTACATAGGATGAGATAATTGATGATATAGACCTTGGGAAGTTACAGCCCTCTTATGAAAAGGATTTGGGGTGTGCGCGCACACACAGGTGTGTAAGCATATTTGTATGCTGTTGAGTTGATAGCCTGTGGAGCTATTGCATCAGGTGTGTGATGGGAAAGTAAGTTCCTTTCCTTCCACCTCAGGCCGTTTCTAGAAGCCTTTCTGTTTGGTGTGACGGTGGGAAACAGAATTGAGCTCGTGCCTGTCCCTCCTGAGAGCTGCGTTTTTGTGGGTCAGTTTCCAGCTGGGTGATGGGAGGGGAGGACCAGCAGACCATCCCGTGGGGACTGGAGGATGCAAGAGTGTCTTTGTCCAGTGGACTGAGGTGACGTGGACGTGAAGGCGGGCCTTAAGAGCCTGGATGATCACAACGCTAAACAGGGATCGTCTAGTGCGGTTTGCCCAAGAAATCTCTCGGAAAGGCATCAGTTCACATGGCAATACCCTTGTCAGAGAAAAAGCCTGAGAAGTTGAGGAGTCGCTAGCTGATCAGAGCAGATTGTGGACGACCAGGGGTTCCAGGAGTCAGCCTTAGCGTGGCAGGGAGAGGCGCTCCCCTGGGATGGGGTGGCCGAGACTCGCATCCTGGGAGCATTCTGACCGGTGGCCCAGAGTGGAAGTCCCGGGTTTGGTCTGGCCTTCAGGGATGTGCCTGGCATTCCTCTGCTGGCCTCACCTCCCAGTGAATGACGGCTCCATACAGTTCTCACTTGACAGTGGAGCTTCCATTTCCCTCTGCATTCTTTTCGCCTTCTGTAATTTTCTCCACAGAGGGCTGCAGGGTCCTTTTAATCCTAAGAGGGTGCGTTATTACAAGTTTGTTTCTCTTAAATGGAAGTACTTGGCCCACACCTTTGTATGTGGGAGGTCTCCAGGCAACTGTGAATAACTTGTAAAGGCTGCTAAGAGGTCAAGAAGTGCTTTGCTGGGTCTTGTTCTTTCTCTTTAAAGGCGGCTTCCCTGTCTTGCTTGGCTCTGCCCTTTCTGTTTCTTCCGTGGCTCTGTCCTGGGCTCTCTCGCCCTCCCTGGTTTCATCCCGTATCTCTAACCTTATCCACACTGAGACCCCAGCGCTGGCCATGAAGTGCATGTGTTTGAAGGAGATCCCATCGTCCTGATTGGTCTGTGTCCCCAAGGCCTGTCATAGTCTAGACCAGTGATGGCGAACCTTTTGAGCTCGGCGTGTCAGCATTTTGAAAAACCCTAACTTAACTCTGGTGCCGTGTCACATATAGAAATTTTTTGATATTTGCAACCATAGTAAAACAAAGACTTATATTTTTGATATTTATTTTATATATTTAAATGCCATTTAACAAAGAAAAATCAACCAAAAAAATGAGTTCGCGTGTCACTTCTGACACGCGTGTCATAGGTTTGCCATCACTGGCCTAGACTCTCCCGTGGTCACCTATCACTCCTTTCTTCCCAGAACCATGAACTCTTAGGCCTAAATGATCACCAGGTCTTGTCATTTGTTTGTCTGAAGTCTTCCTGCCTTTTTTTCTTGTTCCTAATATACCATCTTCTATCTTCTCACCTGCAGTTCATACTGAAAGCTCTCTCTTCCTCTGCCTACCAGACTGATGTGGCTGCTTTTTCTTTATAAAATGGGAATGACTAAACCTATCTTGCAGGTTAGACATAATGTAATGTACAGCGTTTATCATATTGTCTGGCACGAAATAAGTATCAGCGAACGGTGGAATAATAGGCTTCTTACCTCCTCCTGAATCCAAGTAGCCCTCGCTCCCCTCTGTGTCCACACCATGGGAGCGGCAGAGTGAGTGGTTGTCAAAAATCCGGGCTACGGAGCCCTGAGAACCTTGGCTGGAGTCCCTAGACCTCTGCTCAGCAGGTAGTGAGATCACAGGCAAGTCTGAGCCTTTGGATTTTTCTCTTTAAAACGGAAACAGTTACCCTGGTCAGTGGGATTGTCAGGAAGTAGAAGGAGATGACTTCTGGACAGGGCATGGTTCCTTCAGTCCTGGCTCTGCTGATGCGTCTTGTGTTGCACTTCCACCCGCATGCTCAGTCCTGGGTGAGGAGTTTGGAGCCCGTGTGCTGAGTCTCTCCCTCTTCCCTTTGCAGGCTAAGCACCTCCACAGTAATGGCCGCGGCCTTGCCCCGGACGCTGGGGGAGCTGCAGCTGTACAGAATATTACAGAAAGCCAACCTGCTGTCCTACTTCGATGCCTTCATCCAACAAGGTGGCGATGACGTCCAGCAGCTGTGCGAAGCTGGAGAGGAGGAATTCCTGGAAATCATGGCCCTCGTGGGCATGGCCAGCAAGCCGCTGCATGTCCGGAGGCTGCAGAAGGCTTTGCGGGACTGGGTCACCAACCCCGGCCTCTTCAACCAGCCGCTCACCTCCCTGCCCGTGAGCAGCATACCCATCTACAAGCTGCCCGAGGGGTCGCCCACGTGGCTGGGGTTACCCTGTGCCAGCTACGACAGGAGCAGCGGCGCCCGGGAGCCGCACGTCAAAGTCCCCAAGTG